TTTTAGCTTATTTTCGTCGAAAAGGACCCTCTAGCGCCCAAACGGTGAGAGATAGAGCAAAACGGACGAAATTTTCGCCCGAAGGGTTCTACTTTCACAAGTTACCTCTTAGAAGATGATCATAATAAAATATATTTTTTCCAACTTTTTTGGCCTTTCCTGTTTTCTTCGATACCCCCTTTCAGCCCCTTAGGGTTGGTTGCCAGGATTTGCCGTAGGCGTTTCGTTTTCTAGGAGTGAGCCTTAAGATACCCTGAAAATTTGAAGTCTATAGCACATCTCCTTCTAGTGGAACAGACAGACAGACACACAGACAGACAGACAGACACGAGGTCGTTTGCATGAGCCCCCTGGATAGCTTTTTCAAAGCAGAAGGGCGGGCTAAAAAAGCAACGTAAAAGAAATTTAGCATTTTGAATACATGAGTAATGTAGTTCAGAATTGTTCTTCAATGTATGGCTCTGAGTTGATGTGGTACGCAGTCCCCATACACCACGCACACCTCTTAAAGTCAAACTGGTGCTGTAAAGCACAGTGGTAACAGAACCTTTTGCAATTACATGGTAATGCTACCCCTCGGAACATACCCACTTTAAATTTGCTAAAGCATATTACACATTCAGGGCCTGAAAAAAACAAGGAATGCTTGTTTCATGTCTCCATAATATTACTGGCAATAATTTAAGTAGTAAAAGATTTGGTTTTCAATCACTAACTTACCATTGTCATTGCCATCATTCGAACTGTTGTCATCAGAAGGGTTATTGGCAGCAGCTTCTTGAGGGACTTCCAATGGCACGTCTGGCAACAGCTCTGGTTCTGACTCGCTGAACTAAAAAGAAATAAATAGATGTAAACAGAAATTGAAATGGGGTGTACACCTCCTGAGTGCAAAAAATGTGGAGTCAATATCCATGGAAAAGTTTGCATATTCAGATGAGACTCAGATCTTTGTGAAGCTGCTTGACAGGCGTACCATCTCTCCCTCACTCGACAGGATAATAATGCTATCATCAGAATCATCGTTGTCACTGTTGTCATTGCCGCACTTACTCTGTACCTCTGGCTCCGCCTGCGAAGTAAAAATAAAGATTATGTTTAAAAATGTATTTCCATGTTTTAGTTGTGTAAGAGA